GTATTAACTTTCCAACCCAGTATTCATGCGAGTCTCATGAAAGCACCATGAAATGTAGGTTTGTGCTCCCAGCACAGATCTCCGGAGCTAGGTATTCAGCAGTCCCAAGCCTTCCACTCCCTCCCTGCACTGTTTCTCTTCCTCCCAACAGTGAGCTGGGGTGGGGGAGGGGCTCGGGTCCCGCGGAGCCACAGCTCTGGTATGTTACCCCAATCTGTGAGGTCTGCTCTTTTCTCCAGGTGTGTGCAGTCTGACACCATCTTCTTTCCTGTTGTTCTCTCAGGATTAGTTGCAACAATTAAATTTTCTAGTTGTATCCAGTTTTAGGAAGCCTCTGTCTCTCCTCTCACACCGCCATCTTTCGGTAATGCCTATCTTGCACAGCAAGTTGGATCAACTTTTTAGAAAGTCTTTTAAGCTATTAATGATAATACAAAAGCAAGGGACTATTATTTGGGGGGTATTTTACTTTTTCTTATTTATTGAAAGTAAAAAAAAGGCCCTAAATTTTTAAATGCCTCAGATCCCATAATAGCTTCTTCTAGCCAGGTTTCAGGGCTCTGAAGCAGCCATTGACCTAAATATGAAAACTCCACCAAAAGGAAAGGATTTATATTCTTCCCCAAACTGTATTTTTGCTTTAAGATTACCATAATTGATTCTAAGAGGACTGGTTTTAAATATGAGTAGAAGCTGATATGGATTAGCTCTTACAGAATGATCTATAGAGAAGGAAAGGACACCTATCTTTAGTTGTTATTCCTGACTTCTTTTTTTCCAAAACAGAATTGCATTGATGAAATTGAGGCTATAATCAGTGATAAGCTCCAGCTCATCGGAATTGTCGGTATTGGAATCGCAGGTCTTACGGTGAGAAATTCCAGAACTTATCTTTTTTGCTTTCTGAGAAGCATTGAGCTTTGCATCTTATTTCTCTTCAAATGTGATATGGCAGTATCTTAGGAGCAATTTATCATAAAACACAAAGACATTTGTTGACAGGACAGCATCTAAGAGCAAAGCTCATTAGATACTTCAACAGCTAAAACACGTTCTCTAAAATAGGACACAAAATTTCAACTCTAACCTAATTATGACCTTGAGTTTATCATCACAATAGCCTCCCATTTTAGGACCACCAAGCTTAAATTTGACAAGTGATTTTCAATTCTGGGTCTCTTCTTACTGTTAATGATTTAAAATAATCTATCAGGTTAATCTCTCTCACCTATGATTTGCAGAGGCAGTATAGTATAGTGACTAATAGCACAAGTTTCTGACACCACACTGTCTGGATTCAACTCCTCACTGCATTACTTAAAAGCCTGGGATCTTGGGAATTTTCTTAATTTCTCTCTGCCTCAATTCCCTCATCTACTAAATGAGGATTTTAATGTACCAACCTCATAAGATTATTGTGAGAATAAATGCAATAACATATAACAATGTATTACTAGGAATTGTTACATATAAAGTATTTAGAACATAGCTCTCAATAAATGCTAGCTCTCTATATAATCTGAGTGTTCCCAAACCCAGAATCTAGCCAAAGAGAATAGCATGTGCAAAAGTGTAAAACATAGTGCATCCAGGCACCTGCAAGTGGCTCAGTACTTCTAAAGAAAAAAAGAAGAGTGTTCAAGAATTGATAGGGGCAGAAGGGTATGGTAGGAGTAGCAAGAGATAACACGGGAGAGAATGTGAGGGACCACATCATTGAGGTCTTTGTGCCCTTTTGAGAGGCTGGACTTTGATTCTTAAGACAGAGGGGAGCCACCGAGGGTTGTTAGAAAGGCTCTCTTTGGTGCAATGTGGGGTTAAAATTGGTGGAGGGAAACAAGAGTTGTCAGGTATACCAGTAAAGAAGTGATTTCTATTATCCAGAGGTTGAATGATAATAGCTAATGCTAAGATAATGATTACCTTTATCCCTCGGTGTACATTAATGTATGACCTAAGCTAAAGCAGGGGCAATGGGAATTACAAGGAAATCAATGAACTGGCAGTTGTCGGGATACACAAGCATCCTTCCTCTTTTCTGTATTCAGAACACAGAGGGGTGGGGCAGTGGGTGGAAATACTGTGCTGAGGACCTCCCAAACCAGAGACATCTATCTCTCAGGCACTCCCCACTTGCTCTGGGGCTAGCCTGACTGCCATTCTGCAGCTTCCCAAGGATAATTCTGAGGCATATTTGAAAACATTCTCCATAGTACAGGTATCAAATGGACCCTCCTAACAACTGCCTCATGACAGTGGCAGGATGAAACTGAAAAAGTCTCTCTGGGGGGATCCAGTTAGAGAATGAGGTGGCATTCAACCTTACAATCATGGTAAAGGGAAATGCCCTCTGTTGGCCATCTTTAATCAGCACCCCAGAGTTACTTCTTTCATTATTTTCTTCTTAAGGTGAAAGTTGCATACAGTGTAATCATGTAATCAGTTAACTATATGTCCATTAGGTGTCTCCCCTGCCACATACTGGTACTGAGTTCTGTCAGCCAGAAGCTTGGAGCTTGCTTCTGGCTCTTCCCTTACCTAAATCTATTCCTTCCCTTCCGAAATAACTGATTATACACTCCTTTTTCAATTTAGCACTTACAGATCCTAGTCTGATATAAGATGTCATTGAGGAGAGAACCAGAACCAGAGAGTTGTAGTACCAATTTCTTTAAACAAACATTGACAGTAGTTTATAAACTTTTCACCCACAGATTGTATTCCACAGGCTGCAGAATTGTAGGGGAGAAGATTGAGGACAAAAAGGATCTTTTGGCATCCTCCTATTTAAACCATATAAGTGGCTATTGATTTTGCCAAGTATTTGGCTTCTCAGAGTATTCAAGAGGTAGAAGGCATCAGTAATACCATAGCTCAAACACCTCAATATGTGCTTTGGTAAAACTATTGATTTAAATAGTGAAGCATCATTTGTACTTAAAAATGGACCTGGAATTAGGAGATGCTCTGCTTTTTAATATGTTGTCAGTGTTGCAAAAATTCAAAGCTTTTCCAACAATAGAAAACTATTCAACTACAAGTATATTTAACAACTAGTGGTTATTAATTTATTTTTCAAAGTAAATAATATGTAAAATAGATCTAGGTTTAACCTGAGATATAAAATTCTAAAACTAGTAGTAATTAGTCTTTCATAACTATTAAGAACTGTTCTATGAGCTAGAAATAGAGTCCTTTTCTTGTTTTTCAGCATTAATAAAATAGGAATGCATTTTAAGCAGAGTTAACATGGAAGTCTTTAACCAGTACAGCCATAATTAAATAGCATATATAAAAATGTTGTTTATAACCAATAATTATTGGTTATAATTACTTATTAAATTGAGTCAGATACTCAGGCAGTTTGCTGCCTTCCTATCAGTATTTGTCATTTGAAAGTCATTAACAATTGGTTGTTTCTGTTTCAGGTCTTTGGCATGGTATTCAGCATGGTCCTTTGCTGTGCAATACGAAACTCACGAGATGTGATGTAAGCTGCTTCTACATGGAAATTACAGTCTAGAGCTTTCATACAGATATCTCAGGAGCTGTCTCCTGGCTCATTTTTAATATTCAAAGGACATTAGGAGGATCTAAAATAATTTGCTGTTAATTGTACATTTACACATGTATGTGTGTTTGGCTCAGCACTGGTTTACTGCTTGAGTGAATACCTACGTATGTTGACTGAGAACATATTCATGTGTGATCTGTGTGTTTCTGGTATATGCATTATACATAATGAAATCTATTTGCTGGAAATTTCTGATTCTTGTTATGTCAGAGGAACAGTCTATTTAGCTCTCAAAAAAAGATCCAAAACCTTTGATAAACTTTAAAAACTTGTCTATTCAGAAAAAGTGATAATGGGTCAGTTTCTCAGACTCTAGCCATAGAAAGTTAGATACAGAGGATTCAGGGATTTTTAGTTCGCAAAAGCAATAAGCTATAGGAACTGAGAGATCATGGTGCAGTGTTAAAACGGACTGCGTCTGAGTGGGGTGTAAGGATTTCCTGGGAGTTTTTCTGTATACATACTCTCTCCAGAATACAGAAAACCACAGTTTTAGAACTAAACACATCTGTAAAACTAAATATAGCATGGAAAATCTAATTTGAACAAGTCATACTTTCCTAGTATTTAAAAGCAAAAAACCTCCCTCTGGAAAGAGTGCTCAGACAATCATGCCCTATAAGAGTGAATGTTTTTAGGACTTAAAAAAAACTTTAAGCAAATTTAAGGAAATATTTTTGTTCTTATATAAAGACATTTAAATATTGCTTTATTGCTTTCCTTTTATGACTCTGCTCTGAACTACTACAACCCTTACATCCACAAAAGGGCTTTTATCTGAAACTTTTCTGGGTTTCTCCAAAAATGTAATGATAGAAAGACTAAAACAAGAGATCTGGCAGTTGCAAATTACTGGCACTGTATCTTTGAAATACCTCATAACTTGAGTTTACATATTTTCCTAATTTTTTATATTTTTCTTATTTATGCACCTAGAGCATCCGTCTTCATAGATTAAGAGCTTCAGTTTTCAGCACTTAAATAAAACAAATTCCTTCATAATTCATGAGCATTCTTGACCAAAATAAAGTATACACAGGAAAGCATCTTCTCTTAGTTATGAGCACAAAACAAAAACAAGCTAAAGAAACAAAAATACTTCCATACAACAGAAATATGTTCATTCTTGAAGATTCCCTATAAAAAATAAAATCATGTTCTTTTATGGTCTTGATGTTTCATTTTAGTATGTAAACCCAAATTCAGGATCTAAATTGACATATTTGTCAATTTTTAACAACTTGGTACATTTAGTAGATCATGGTTTTCTTTTTTCATTACATTTTAGAAGGCCACACAAAAACAAAAGTATGGTGGGCTCTGGAAACCCCCGAGTGAGTTTGTGCACAGCTAAGAACACAAGTCTTTGGGTGCGCATTGAAGGAAAGTGTGCACTCCCCAGGAAGTCTTACAAAGCATTTCGCTGAAAAGACTTACCCATTTGAAACAGTCTCACTCCTGCACAGAGCCACAGTTCTCCTTCTGCCCTACTTGCTTCAGCTGGCTTTGGAGAGAGCTTTTCTTTTTTTAAAAAAAAAGCTAGATTGGAAGTAAGCTAAAAATTTTATTTTGCACAGCAACTTTACTGCATCTTTAGCTAATGAAAGATTATTTTAAGAAAGTCACTTCATGAAATAGTACCCCATGTACCCCAGTAGTTTGGAAATAAAACCTTTTAAGCAAAGAACAAACAGTCCATCTCGCTCAGTGGCTTTCGTTCATCTATCTGCCTGAAGACAGGAAACCAGCCCAAGTGCTTACTGAGGTTTCCTCTAGCTCAGATTCATCTCTGATGCAACAAAAGTGAGTTTTCATTCTATATCTGAATTAACAACCTTAAAGAAGACTACCATAGTTAAAACTGGAAGACTAGAGATCTGTTCCATATATGATTAAGTGCACCTTTGGAGAGTAAATATTTTCCAAAATTTGTGCTGAGTATAATTAGAGAATTCCACCTCTAAGTGAGGGTATATTTGTATATATCTTGAATATATATATATATAACTTAAATGTATGTATATGTGTATATGTATACACACACACACACACACACACACACATATATATGAATCTTTGTTATGTCTGTTTACCAGAACTAATTTGATATCAGACTCAAATGTTTTCTAGAACACTGTATATATGTACCATATTTTCTTTACCATTCAGCCATTGGTGGACACTTAGGTTGTTTCCATATGTTGACTATTGTAAATAATGCTGCAGTGAACAACATAGGGATGCATATATCCCTTCAAATTGGTGTTTTCATTTTCTTCAGATAAATACCCAGGAGTGTAATTGCTGGATGATATGATAGTTCTGTATTTAATTTTTTCAGGAAACTCCATATTGTTTTTCATAGTGGCTGCACCAATTTACATTCCCACCAACAGTGTATGAGGATCCCCTTTTCTCCATATCTTCACCAACACTTGTTATTTTTTATCTTTTTGATAATAACCAGTCTGAAAAGTGTGGGGTGATGTTTCATTGTGAATTGCTTTTATTCCCCTTATGATTAGTAATGTGGAGCATCTTTTCAGTATATCTTCTTTAGAGAAATGTCTGTTTAGATTCTCTGCCCATTTTTTAATCAGATTGTTTGATCTTTTGCTATTGAGTGTTATAAGTTCTTTATGTTTTGGGGATTGGGTATTGACCCCTTATCAGATAGATGATTTGCAAATATTTTCACCCATTCAGCAGGTTGCCTTTTCATTTTGTTGATGGTTTCCTTTGCTGTACAGAAGCTTTCTGGTTTGATGTCGTCCTACTTGTCTATTTTTGCTTTTGTTGTCTTTGTTTTTGGTGTCAAAACCAAAAAATCATTGCCAAGACCATTATCAATGAACTGAATGTTTGTGTTTTCATTAAGAGTTTTATGGTTTCAGGTCTTACATTCAAGTCTTTAATCCATTTTGAGTTTATTTTTGTAGATGGTGTAAGAAAGTGGCCAAGTTTCATTCTTTGACTTGACACCATTTACTGGAGAGACTGTCTTTTTCCCATTATGTGTACTTGCCTCCTTTGTCATATACTAATTGACCATGTAAGTGTAGGTTTATTCTTGGTCTTTCTACTCTGTTCCATTGACGTGTGTGTCTGTTTTTATGCCAGCACCATACTGTTTTGATTACTATAGGTTTATAATACAGTTTGATATGACTAAGTGTGATGCTTCCACCTCTTGTTCTTTTTTTTTTCAATATTGCTTTGGCTATTCAGGGTCTTTGTGGTTACACACAAATTTTAGAATTGTTTGTTCTAGTTCTGTGCAAATGCCATTGGAACTTTGATAGGGATTGCATTAAATCTGTAGATTGGGATAGTATGGACATTTTAATAGTATTAATTCTTCCAATCCATTAAGCATGGAATATCTCTCCATTTATTTGTGTCTTTTTCAGTTTCTTTCATCAATATCTTATAGTTTTCAGTGTGTAAGTCTTTCATTTCTTTGTTAAATTTATTCCTAGGTATTTCTTTTGGTGCAGTGGTAAATGGGAGGATTTTCTTAATTTCTCTTTCTGACTGACTGTTATACGTGTATAGAAATGCAACAAATTTCTGTATATTGATTTTTTTATACTGCAATTTTACTGAATCATTTTACTCTAAGAGCTTTTGGTGGAGTCTTTGGGTGGAACATATAGTATCATGTTGTCTTCAAATAGCAAGTTTTACTTTTTCCTTTCCAATTTGGATGCCTTTTATTTCTTTTCTTACTTACTCCTAAAGGGTCTGGCCATAAGAGAAGCAGAGATTGCTGCTGCACTGATCACAAATCCATTTAGTTACAAAAGAACTGGTAGACTATTTCATAGTCAAATAAGGAACAAGAGCGACTTTTTTTTAAAGCACTGGGTCTCAAACTTCCTCTGCCAAGAACTGACTCCTTGAAACTTAAGGTTGAATTTAAGACCACTATAGAAGATGTTCCAAAGTTTCTATCTTACTCTTATTACACAAACACTTTCCTTTTTTTAAGTTCTCTGTTCATTCTCCTTCTCTTAGAGAAATAAACCTCAAGATACCCTCCAAACAGCATTTCCATATACCCAAGTTTCTGGATCCAGTTGAGGCAAATATTTGGTTATGCCAATCACTAAGCTCTCTCCTAAGGACTCTTTGTCTTGGACAACTCCACCTTCAAGAATAGTTTAATATAATTTATGTATATATTCCAAATGGATTGCCTTCAGAAGGAGGAAATAAGTCATCTCTGATGTATCTCCTCTAGTGTTCTGTGGCACGTGATGGTACAGGACCGTGACTTCCATGTCCAGGCCCAGCCTCCTCTCTGCAGGTTGTGGAAGCCAATTTAAGTAATGCTTTCTGAGCTGGACTATTTATAAGGGGCCTCCCTAAACCTCTCAGCCTTTTCAGAATTCAAGTCCTTGGAAAATATGTTTCAGATTCCATGAAAGGGATATGTGATTAATGCCAGTTAGGTCTGCACAACAGACTTTTTACTCATTACTCAAAAATGTATATTTAATATATAGCTTCTATAGCGGGTGTTATAAACCTGCAGCTTTAGGGTCCATGTTACCAAGTGATATGTGAACCCAAAGCCCCAGATTAATATTTGGAGACTATGCTAATATGAACTTCAGATTTTAAGGTAAGGAAAATGTGGTTTCCTGACTTTTTATATAAATGTATAACTATTCTCTCCCCATGGTCTTGGTACACTCCCTCTATGCCTCACCTTCCCCCGTATACTGTCAGCATGTAAGCATTGACAGGATGCTTAGCTGAAGCAACAGTGACTGTGGAATACAGCAAAACCAACAGGCCCTGCTGACCTGTTTAGGGAGGCCCCTTATAAATAGTCCAGCTCAGAAAGCATTACTTAAATTGGCTTCCACAACCTGCAGAGAGGAGGCTGGGCCTGGACATGGAAGTCACGGTCCTGTACCATCACGTGCCACAGAACCCTAGAGGAGATACATCAGAGATGACTTATTTCCTCCTTCTGAAGGCAATCCATTTGGATATAACTGATTTATATCCTGATGGTAGCAGTTTGGATGAAAATAAATGGATAAATTCAGGATAAATTGTCTTTTTTAGGTCAAATCTGCAGAGCACTAGATCTGTCTCACTTCCTACATCTGTTGAAATCAAACTCTTGAAAGAGTGCCTAAGGAAGGAAAAGAAAAACAAACAGCCACTTATCAAGCACATTTACTGGAAAACAATATCTCAATATTGGTGAAGTTTTAGATTAGAATTTAGGATGATTCTGTGCTATTAAACCCCTTAGCATTCTCCCCCATCCCTAAAATCATAACCATACTAGGTTTTCATGACATCAAAAGCCAAAAGAGCACAAGTTGCTTTTTGTATAAATGTTGGGAAATGTCTCCTATTACTTGAAAGATTACAAAGGATTTAGACTTCTGCATGTAAAATGATCATGGCCTCTTTTCTAGGCTTTTGGGGTATAACTTTCCTAAGTCAGTTGGCCCATCAGAGTAATTAAAGGGAAAGATTATTAGAATAGACTATACTATTTAGTGAGTTTCGGTGAAGTTTTATCCTGTACATTTGAATGGCTGGAATAAACTACTCTATGGCAGATTTCACATGTTCTTTAATTTCCACCTCCACTACAGTCCTGCTTCTAGCCTTTTGAAGGTAGGTATCTGCAATACCCTGATGCCATATGCTTCTTCAGCTTCTGATCACCTTACTCTTTCCTTTTGGCTCTGTAACATTCCCACATTAATTTTCTATGTCAAGACAAACATCATGGTCCTCTGTTAAGAGAGCTTACTCAAGGCTAGCTTTCGTTAGTATTTCATGTCCATATTCTCCATTTTACCTGCACTCTGCCCTTTCATGTGGAAAACATAAGAGCTCAAAAGGCTTTTCTCGCCTTTTCTTCTAAAGCTCTCTTATGCCTGTACTGGTTTGGATGAAATCATACTCAAAATGCACACAAGATACTGTGAAATATATTGATATTTTATTAGTTTTATTCCAGGTAAACACATTTAACTGAATTGCAAATTACATTGCTATTGAAGTTGGAGAGAAAATCCTACCACATAGGAATTCTGAGGTTTGATACAGTAGTTTGTCTTGATGGCCTCATGTACGCAGTCACTATAGTCAGTATTACATTTGCCACACTTACAGCTTATAGCTACAGGGTAGGAGAAATAAGGAGGAACATGAGGTGGGCATCCTGGTATTTCTACAGTCTTATACATGAAGTCTCTATATGTACAAACATCCTGGGACAGAGCATATTTGGGAAGAAACAGCTTGCCATTGATATCCTGAGGAAAGAACAAAAAAAGGAGCTTAATGTGATAGGACCTTACAAACATATAGGTAATGGAAACATACAAATAAATTCACTTATATTCTTCATCACAAATAGCACTGGAGGATTCCTTAGCCCCATTCACCAATACCAACTCAACATATCCACACTAAATCACATCAAGACAAAAGGGACAGTCTCCCCCTTTTATTCTTGATCATGGAAACAAGATAGAGTTTCAATAATTTTTGGAGATAAAATTATAAAATTATCTGTATCCATTGTGTTAAGCAGATCCACATAATATTGTAACCTATTCACTGTACCCCTAAGAAGCCAATAATCATTAAATTTGGGAAATGAAGTGATTTATCTCATTTCCTTTCTAGATAGAAATGAACCAAGTCTAGGTTTCTCTAATATACTGCTAAAGGAAGTGAGATTAACAACATACCCGTGTCATACAATATCCAGCACAGATGGTGGTGTTGATGGTTAGGCAATAAGCACATTCTTTCCTTTCAACATGCATCGTATATTCAGTTGGAATACAAAAAGACATTGCTTGCCCACATGCAAGGCCAAAAAGCATGGACATCAGGTAGATAGCAGTCATGCTAAATCAAAGATAAAATTAAAGAATCTGTTACATGTATCCTTTATGACATTAAGAAAAGACATTTGGAAAGAGCTAAAAAATATAATATAAACATACATACATACATATATGTGTGTATAACTATATACATTTATTGAATGCCTACTTTGTCCTTAGCCGTATATTAGATGTTTTTACATAGTACTCTTAAAAACTTTCTTTATGCCCTTATATGTGGCCATGATCCACATACTTCCTAATGTAAGAGCTCACATAGTGAAGGTCCTGCTTACAAATGCAACTTATCTCCACTGGGCAGTAAAATAGCAAGCCTGAAATACCATAACAGAAAAGTGGCAGAGACACATATGTCAACTAAATTTTAAACAATTCATTAAATGGAAACAATCCAAATACCTTTCTCTATGATTATGAGAAATTAGTTAACAGGCCTCAGTAACAGTTTCCCCAAAACTAGCTTTCTAAAAACTTTGGTACAATAGCTTAAAAGGCCAACAAGCTGGTCATAACCAGAAAAGGCAAACAAAGAAAATGAATAATCAAACTTCAGTACCATCTCAATGCAAATAAAGCTTGCATATAATTCTACCCATTGCCTGTCAAGGAAAACAAGGTGGAACTAGAGAAAATACAGAAGAGGTCAACTAAATTTACCATTGGTGTTAGGGGGCTAACCTGGAAATCTAGAAACCCCCCTCTCAATCCTTTGAATATTCCTTTAAGGTTGAAAGATCTAGAGTTAGACAAATTAAAAAAATTATTTTACTCAGATAATGTATGGAACTCATCTTAAAAAGACTAAGGAGACAAAAAAAATACAGGTTGACACAAGGCAAGTAATATAATCAAGAACAGATCCATTGTGGCTTAGCCAGGAAAGTAAAATAAATTTTGGTTACATGGAAGTCCACTGTGTCTCAGACAGAAGTAAAACATGTATTTCTATAGAGTCTGTATGATGGAGAGTTTGTTCAGTATCAATTGGACATTGTAATGAGCTAGACAATGTTATAATTATTTCAACTGAGAGGGTGATCAAATTTCAGACTTTTGAATAGAAGATCACTTCAAAGATTAAGATTTTTTCATCTTAACAAATATTGTACAGTTAGATAGGTATATTTGGATTTTTTTCCTTTTCAAGTACCACTGTCGGAAAAGAAAATACACTACTAAAAGTAGTATTGTTATCTTTTAGCACAAACTTGTTTGCTTATTATATAACCATCAAAAATATATCAAGATCTCAATCTGTCAATTACATCCTAATAACATCTTTAAGCTACCTACACTAAAACCTCTATAAACTGAAATGTCTTAGACTCTGCCTCAGTTAACCAGATTTTTGTCCTCAATCAACTTGCAAGAAAACTGAAAACCACATTCAATGAACTACCAGGGATTTATTTTAGATGTCAACTTCCAGAGATTCTTGGTCATTCCAACCAGTCTCCTATTCCTGGAATAATTGCAGATAAATTAGATAAACATATACTGAGCATTTGAATCAGGCACAAGATGCAAAATGGATAAGCTATGGTCACTTTTCTCAAAGGCTGACAGCCTAGTGGAGGAGATAAATATGAACAGTATTAAATAAAACACATATTGTTCTAAGTTGTCTGAAAGAGTCCAAATTATGACTGTGAAACCCACAATTATCAATTATTTCTCCCGTATAGCAAGGAACTGAAATAACCCATTAAGAATGGTTTTCTGATAAACACAAAATGTTTCATGTTCAAGTATTCCTTGGAGGGTTTTTTGGTATTTCAATTAGGGAGCAAAAATGTAAGAATTCCTCACTTTGAGTCTTGTTTACTCAGGTGCTACACAAATACATGAGATCCCTCTATGATACAAAGTTGGTTCCATTATTTCAGAGCCACAGAATTAGAGGATCCTTTGTAGGGTCTTAAAAATATCCATTTAATAAATGATTAAAAAAAGTACTCACCTGTCATGATCATATGGTTCTTGCCTTTCTAGCTAGCCAGCTACTAAGCTTTTCCATAGGAAATAATTAACTTCACATATTTTAACTTTTAGCTCTATGTTTCTACATACAATATTTGTGTGGTGACCTAGTGGTGAGAATATAGGTCCTGGAGTTAAGGAACAGAATTTTATTTCAGTATCTCCCATGGATCTATGAGAAATTAATTAAAATATTTAATCTACCTGGGCCTTATTTTTCCATCTGTGAAACAGACAAGTATGACTGACCTTTTTATAAATTGTAAGATGAAACAGTTTTGGAACTTTTACCCATTGTTGTCATACTCATTTTGGACATTATGTTTTTTGAAGTTCCTCTTACAAAACTCTTAACAAAAGGAAAAAGGGAAAGTACTAAATTATCAGCATTAAAATCTGTATAACTGTGTGGATGTAAAGAAAGTTAAGAATTGTTTTTCTCCTTTATTGCCAATAGTAAACATCACACATAGAATCTTTCTGGGCCTCAATTTCCTCATCTATAAAAGTAAGGCTTAGAAACAGAAAATGATACGGAAGTTCTTTTCAGCATGAATAGACTGTGATTCTATGTGACAAATTAGTGTCAGAATCTTCCAGATTTCATTACAATTATGTGTAACTGAGTAATTTAATATCTTTCTGCCTTTTTCTATGTGCTGCCTTCTAAAATCATGAAAAGAATAAAACAATACATGTGGGGCACACTTGGAATGCTACAGAAGAAAGACTATGTAACTAATATAACACTATCTAAATCAGTGTTAATACCTCCCAATGTGATCTGCCACAGTTTCTCCTTTATTCTCCTAGATTCTCATCTCTGAAACTTAGTTTCCTCTTTAAAATATCATAAATGATTTACTGAGCACCTAAACACAGAGGGCATGGTTTCAGATCCTTAATAATGAGCACCTTTTTCAGTGACATAAGCATCTGTTATCTGTGTCTATATTTTCAACACTTTTTCTTATTCCAAGACACATTCTTTCCTTTGCCCCTTACTCTACCTTTTCTTTTTTTGCTTTCACTACCAGCATTAATAATGAACATATGTCTATCTGCTCTGCTAATTCCTTTGCCAACCTTTTCTCTCCAAATCCCTTACTGCACTATGAAAAGAATCAATTGCTCACACTATGAACTATCCAGGAACTTCACAAAAACAATATATTTTTCTAAAGAGCAAAATATACTATAAGGCAGGTGTGAGTTGGACACTATCCAAGAGGGAGTAGATATTAAATAATTAAAATTATACAGAGTAATTACCCCTGCAGGTACTCAAAAATGAATTTACTGCAAGTTTTCCCAGAAGTATATTATCAGCAAAGATAACCATTAGTAATTGACAGGATTTAATACACAGATTACCCAACTGATAAAAGTATTTTAATCAAAATGTAAATAGGAAGAGAAAGCCATGCATACCAATCAGCCTTCATTAGGGAATTGACCAGCTGTTCCTTTAAGTCAATGGAATTTTTTCTTATGTATGTAGCTCACTCACCTTTACTTACCATTGAACAATTTTGAAGCAATAATTAGAATTTTGAGAGCCAACTGAGGCAAACTATTACTCAGCATTTGCCATCTTTAAATAAAGGATAAAATGGTGAAAATTTTTAAAAAACAAAATAACATTTCATTTCACAAAGCTTTAGGTGTTGACACCTACCTTACTTTGCATTGGTGAGCTGATGGTGTAATGACCCAAACTAAAAGCTCTTGGTTCATTTTATATCTTTCAGGGTAATTCCTCTCTGATCTTCTTGTTTATATAATTGCATTTGAATTACTGCCTTCTTATCTAGAAAACATCTATTGAAAATTCATACTGAACCCCAAATAAAATGTGTTTAGACAAACAATTTCAAAACATCTTCCTCTGGAAACTCTGGTATTATTGCAGCATAAATTTTCCTCTCCCCTATTTCAAAACAAAAGTATCCTTTTAAATATATATCCATTATTAATATTTATTAATGTTAATAAAGGATATACATAGAAGGTGAAAAGAAAATACACCTTAATGCCATCTAAATAAATGTTAGGATCGAAAATTTATTTGGGGCTTCAATATCCCAAATTCTACCTACATGCTCATTTAGAGACATAGAAAATTAATGCTCATCTACAAAGCAAAGACAACTTCTTTATGGAAATGCAGGGCAGTTGGCATATATGTTACTGGTTAAAACTTTAAAATATTTAATTGGTTCAAAATATTTTATTCCTTTTTCTTTGGATTTAAAAAAATAATAAAATTTGCATGTGTGAAACAGTAATTTAAGTAAAGAGCCAAATCTGGCAGGATGTCAGACTGACTGAGATCAAATCCTAGCTCTGCTATTTACCAGCCATATGACATTAGTATAATTGAGCTCTCTTTACTTCAGTTTCTTCACCTACTTAAAGGTAATATCAGTGCTTATGCAAAGCACTTAACACAGTGTCTAGCATATAATAAGTGCTCAATAAATGATAGCTGTTATAATAATTCAACATTTATTTAATATTTAGTCACAGTGCCCAGTTAATAGTAGGCAATCATTTTATTTGTTGAATATAAATGACTGAGTGCACAAATAATTATTGAATTTTTGGAACCAACATATATTTTTCTCCATCTCAATAGCTATAACAGTTTTACCCCTTTCAATCCACTTGCCTCACTATAAGAAAGGTAATATGCCAAAAGTTCAATGAGAATTTTCCATTGCTCTCAGAAAAAATATCATTTACAAGTCCATCAGAGTCTATTTTTCTCTTTCTAGTTTCATCTCTTATCATCTCTCACCTTCCCCTGATCTTCCTCATTCTTTTTCCACTTTTTCAGCTAAACTGAACTGTGTTCCTCAAACTAGTCACATGCTTTCTCGCCTCCAAGTTCTTTCTTATTCCATTCCTTCTGTCTGAAACATCTACCTGATCTACTCCATGCCTCCTATCACCTAACTCCTATTCATCCTTCATAACAACTGAGAAAGCATTCCTTCTGCAAAGCCTCTGATTCCCTAAGTTCTTCCTCATAGTAGTTTTAAGAGAATTAAAGAAAATATATAGAACATCTGACATATGGTAGCTGAATAAATCATAAATATTATTATAGATTATTGCATATCCCATTAGTTCATGTATCTTAGTCTTTATTGTTAATGAAAATCAGTGAAAAAAGTGAGGTCTGGTACAGAGAGCCTCCCTGGAGGGGGGACAGAGAGGTCAAGACAGAATCTGGATATACAAGGAATAGCCATACCTGGGGCCTTCACATCTTGGAAATTTGCCCTACTATGTAGTAAGAAAAGAATTCTTAAAACAGGAAAAATGGAAATGAGGATACCAAACAGTCTCAGATGAATATGGGCAAGACGTTAAGACAAGAGTACAGTAACTGTGGGAATGTTAGATATTTGTTCCAAATGGAAAGAGTGCCTCTGTTGATTCAGAAACTCAGTTTCCTAGCAGATTTATACACATATTCCTAGGAAATATATGTATACATAATAGGTAACTGATATACATCTTGCCTATTAATAGAACTGTAAAATTTTTCACACATTTAGGTAATGATTTTCTTTTCAAAGGGGCTCTCATGTATATGATCTCATATAGTTAAAAGAATCCAGGCACTTGAACTTTCACTTCTAACCTGGATTTACTCTCCCACCTAAAATAACTATAAACCAAACAAAATATATGAAACAATTGTTCCATACATTGAATATTAGGCAAAAAAGTAAAATGACCCCAGAAAGATAGGAAACAAACAATGGAGCTTCAGCTTACTGGAAAAAGCTTTTGGCCAATGGTACAGGGAGGGTATCAAGGCAGAAGCCAAAAGTGACCCCAGATTAAGGAGATAGTCCTGGGAATCCATGGAGCCCAAGGCATCTGGAATTCACAGGGAAGAGTATTGGTGAGGAGAGAACTGCACAGAGAGAAAATTCTGGAAATTTGTAGAGGATCTGAGTATTCAGCTGAAAACAGATAACCTCATGCATGTGAGGAAACTAGATGACGATGGGGAAAGAAATAACCTGAAAGGATTGAAGAGAATAGTCCTGGTACTCACACAAGGATTGACATAGTGCTTGTCTCAAACAGCAACCATGGAAAGTCTCCTAATTCATGGAAAATCGAGTAGTATACTTCGAACGGTTTTGCCTCAATTGTGAGGAAAAATGAGACCTAACAAAGGTTAAAATAAGACCCAAAAGGATCAACTGTTTGCAAATAATATAATTGAGTCAAAGAACAAAGCTGAAAAATATTTGTAGATATACAACAATATCTGATACCCAACAAAGTATAATCTATAGTACGTGGCATTCAATAAAAAATTACTAGATATGCAAAGAAGCAGGAAAATATAATTCATAATGAAGAAAAATTAGTTTAATCAATTGAAACTGATTCAGAAATGATACAGATAATAAAATTAGTAGACAAAGGACATCAAAACATGACACACAGGGAACACAATAAGTTTTCAGTAGCTGGCCCCACATAAATACCTGAAAAAGAACTCAAAATAATTATTTTCAAGAAGCTCAGCAAGATTCTAGGAAACATAGACAACTCAATGAACTCAAGGAAACAATAAAAAAGCAAGAAATTCAACAAAGGGATAGAAATCATAAAAGAGAATCAAATTCTGGAGCTAAAGAATATGTAAAACATAGTGTGTAAGTTAAAAGACAGAAATGTTGAAAATAACCATAGTTACTGGATACACAATATAAAAAGATGTAAATTGGGACACCAAAAATGTAAAATGGGGGTCCAAGTAAATGTGTGGAACTTTTTATGCAAATGAAGTAAAGTTGTTATCAGCTTAAAATAGACTCTTATAAATATGATGTTTTATATAAATCTCATGTACTCACAAAAAGAAACCTATAATATATTTGCAAATGATAAATAGAAAATATACCATAATTTATAAAAATCAATTCACAAAGACAGAAAGAAAAAAACTACAAAAAATCAGAAAACAACAAAATTGTAATAGTAAGTCCTTATGTACCCAATAATTACTTTAAATGTAAATGATTTAAATTCTCCAATTGAGTAATTGAAAAAAAAAGACTCAATGATATGCTGCCTACAAGAGACTCACTTAAGCTCCAAGGACATTCATAAGCTAAACATGAAGTGATGGAAAAAGATATTCCACACAAATGGAAACCAAAAGAGAGCAGAAATAATTGTATGCTCATATCAAACAAAATATACTTTAAGTATAAAACTGTATTAAGAGACAAAGAAGGTCTTTATATAATGACAAATCAACTCATTAAGAGGATGTAACAATTACAAATATATATGCATCCAATATCAGGGAACTTAAGTACATTAAACAATAATTCACATTTCTGAAAGTAGAAATAAACAGCAATGCAATAATAATAGAGGACTTAAATATCCCCACTCTAAACAATAGATCATCCAGACCAAAATCAATACAGAAATAATGGACTTGAACTATACTTTGGATCAAACAGACCTAACAGACACACACAGCACTACATCCAACGGCAGCCAAATACACTTTCTTCTCAAGCACAAGAGAAACATTCTCCAGGATAGATACGTTAGGGCACAAAACAGTTGTTAACTAATTTAAGAAAACAATATCAAGCCTCTTTTCTAAACACAGTGGTATGAAACTAGAAATCAATAATAGGAGAAAAGCTGGAAAATTCACAAATATGTAGAAATTAAACAACACAATCCTGAACCACCAATGGGTCAAAGAAGAAATAAAAACTATCTTGAAACAAATAAAAATGGAAACACACATACCAAAACTTATAGGATATGACAAAAACAGATCTAAGAGGAAAGTTTATAGTGATAAATGCCTACATTAAGAAAAATATATCAAATAACCTACACCTGAACCTTAAGGAACTAGAAAAAGAATAAGCTAGGCCCAAAGTTAGTAGAGGAAAGAAAATAATAAAGAATAGAGCATAAATAAGTGAAATAGAAACTAGAAATACAATACAGATCAATGAAAGTAAGAATCTGTTTTCTGAAATCATAAACAAAATTGGCAAACCCTTAGCTACACCAAGGAAAAAAGAGAAATGACTCAAAACTATAAATGAAAGAGAAGACATTATAACTGATAACAAATATACAAAGGATCATAAGAGACTACTTTGAACAATCATGTACCAACAAATTAGAAGAACTGGATAAATTCTAATTTATCTAGTACCAGAAGAAATGGATAAATTCCTAGAAACATACGATCTACCAATCAGTAATTAAAAATCTCCCAATACTAAATGCCCAGGATCTGATGGCTTCACTGTCAAATCATACCAAACATTTCAATTATACCAAATATGAAATAATACCAATCTACCTCAAACTCTTCCCAAATAATTGAAGAGGAAAGAACACTTGTACATTCATTTTTCGAAGCCAGGGTTACCCCCC